AGCAGGTTCGGCCATAACTTCGGTTCATCTAGACCGAGTGGATATCGCCACACCGGCACTTTTGGAAAGCCCTCCATTCCTAATGGAGCGATAAACGGAGCACCGAGCCATGTAATGGATATTAGGGGGAGGGGCAAAGCATATGCACCTTGAAAATCCCCTTGCAACGGCAGTGGTCCGGCGGTAACACCTGTCTGATGGAGCAGGTAACGCCTTGCTAACGGGCGGCTTCCTCCGGTTACAAGCACCACAGCGCCCGCCATCGAACCAGGTTGTGGAGGTGTCTGTCATATGAGTGGACGCTGCCGGGCGTCGGAAACTGACCAGAGGCTCAGAGTAATGGTCGCTTGGGATACTTTGACGGGGCTTCAAGTAGGACTATCGGAGGCGGACTGATACGTGATGGCTGTGGGGTAAAGGAGGTAAACTTGACGGATCTCTGGATCGATTCTCAGAGGCTCGTACTTGAAGGAAAGCGTTTCCGTCACCATTGTTTTCGCGCGATCTCTCGCCAATATTTACAGACCGCTGAGTACTTACAGATATTGTATGCGGATAAAAAGCTTCCGTTTGACAAAGAGAAGCTCGAGGTAGCACAGATTGCGCTGGGGCTATCTGTGTATTTGCATAGTAATACGGGCCTTGGCAAGGGTTCTGGTCTCGGCGCCATGGGTATGATGTGTCCAGGGCGATGGAGCAAGCAAATTGAGGATCGCGGACGAAATCGATTTCCGAGGTGCCAGATAATTTTATAATCATCACCGTATTGAAGTGCAAAGCTGATTCTCTGCTTATTCCCGTACAATTCATGGGCAAGGTGCGATGGTTTTGAACCTCATTTCATTCACTTCGGATGACCCGAGTGAGCGCTCTGAATCAAGCGTTATGCAGTAATTTCATATTGCAGGCACAAAACCCGCCTAACCACCATTATGCTCCTGATTGTTGACAAATCTGGACTTTCGAAGATGAGATGAAGGTTGTTAAGCGGAGATGGAATCAACTGTTGGACTACAAGCGGCCCTGAGGTAGGAGGCGTTATTGGCCTCCAAAGTACGAGCTCTCCCCTTGGAAGTTCTTCCATGAGCAATTCGCTACGGATTCGTCCGAACACTATGATCGCCCTGACGGCATCCCGCCCATCCAGAAAGGGTGCGTTCTTCGCATGTTGTATCTGCGGATGTAACTCTACGCCTGAGGGTCAGGCGTAATGTTGTAATCGCGACACCCCAGCCCGCATACGGCAAGGCAATCTGTACGATGCTTGATCATGGGTGGAAGCAAGTCTACAAGAGATAGCATAAGTTGACCTATAGTCAAGAGACCCCTGCCTTAAGATCTTGCAGTTCATGAGAGGTGGCTGGGTGAGGTGGTAATCCAGTGCGTAAAGGCGCTTGCTGCTGCTTCACAATGAAGATCAGGGGTCAGCCTAGGTCGTTCACCTGAAAAGAGGGAATACAGATAGATTGCGAACAAGACACAACCTCCGTTCGTTATACGAGGAATGGCAGATGATGCGCTATTCGAAGAAACTAGCTCGTCTGTCTGGTGCGGCTGGCAAGAGTCTCCAGCATAGAGCTTTGTGTTTTACATCCAAAAGTGGAGTTTCTACACAGCGCAGAGCATGAAGCAAGAGATGCCACGCACACAACGTTGATCTCAATGTGGCCCCGACATCCAGGTTGGCCCCTCCAGAATCTCGTGGGCGGTCAACTTCACTGTCAAAAGTCTTGCGAGCCTTGATGGACAATGTTGATTGCTGTCAGCCCAGGGGGTTTGTTGGTCCAGCCCGGCTTTGGTACTTTGGCAATTCCTGACCGATGCTTATTGTCCCGTAATCCCTTTTGGGGCGCAATCTCGGGGTGGGCTTCTCACACAAGGGACATTATCCACCCATGGGCCATGACCCCCTCAGCTAACAATTTTGGCCAGACTGTGGCCGGGCGACTCCTACCCCCACAGACGGCGCGAGCGGCGAGTCGGGGCCCCCTTATGACCGATTGTGGTTCTTGAGGAGGTCTCCCGGCTCAGTCCGTACGGAAGCCGATGAATCTTTAAACTCGGCTCTCAGTGTGAGCATCGCCGAAACACAAGAAAGTTCGTCGAGAAACACCAAAAAAAGTCAAAAAACCACATAGTTTTGGCTGGGTTCTCAAGCAAAACAAAGCTCTCTGCGACTGAGTTGTCTCGATTGGACCGGGAATCTCGGCCAGCGCAGCCCAAAAGTGCGCCGATCTATGGGTGCCAGAATGTCTTGGCACACTCTATTGAAAAGTCTTGGCGACTCCTTTCCAGATTTTTCTTGGCACACATCACAGCCCATCACGTTTCTGGAGTGAGTGCCGTGGGCACACATACGACCATCCCACAGAACTTGAATCGTTTTCGCATTGGTGGAATTAGGTCCATGACTAGAAGAACCGGGCCTCACCAGATCACGGCCCCTTGCCAGCCTGCCGGGCTCATCTGCTATGATGCCCACCCTCATGGGTCAATATTTAGTGTTAAGGTGACAATGGTGAGAGCATCCGATCTCCGCTCCCATCTTCGCCTATTCGTGCCTAGGCTACGGGTTATCCGCATTTCCAGGTATTTCGGCAAACAAGCGGATTTTCATTCACACACCGCCAGTGCACAAAAACCGGTATCCGTTGTTTAACCATGTCTCAATGCAACGGGAATCGGAGCCTCGTTCGACAGGGCAGGCCCAAAAGCGATGGCAACGGTGACATTGAGAGCCTCCTTTGACCTTTTTCGGATCCCGATAGCGCTGTTTCCGGCCTGCAAGTCGCATCCCACCCGCAATGCCAGACGCAGGCGCGTTGGTGATATATTGTTAGAACTGGAGATCATTTGAATTTATCACAACTGTCGCATTGGGTCTGGCGGGGTTTGTCTCGGGTTGTTTGCAATTTAGACATGTCGCAAAAGACTACCAAACTGATTCAGCAGCTCTGGACTTTGATCCACCAGTAACGGATGTTGAACTTTGACAGTGGCATGCCGCATGTTGAATCTGGTTCAGATGAGCGCTGTCTCAGCGGCAACGTGCTTCTGCCGCCCCCCTTGCTGCTAGCGCACAGTCTGCATTGCGCTGATCCAGCTTTTTACTCTCTGGTTCGGCGCCAACGATACCCCGGAAAGCTGATTAAGGTCAATAAGCTTGAACAGGGATGGTGGGCATGTGTCCATGGGGGCAGATTTTGCGGTCAAGGGGGGACTGGGCTGCCCCGTGCACTGACAATATGCTGCCAGCAGCTGGGGGAAATTCGAAGAGATAATAATATCAGGCTTGCCACGGGTTAAAAGTGCCATCCTGGGTTAGCCGGGACCCTCATTGTGCGGCAGAGAAAATCAAAGTTCGCGGGATCACGCTCCACTCCAAAACACGTCAGACAGATTTTCCCTAAACCTTCGAGAGGTTATTCGAGAAACGGCTCAACATGGCTGCAAGGAGCCAAGGACCTCACAGACAACTACCGTAGTACCGATTTCTTGGGTATCAACTCTCGCTAGAATACAAACAGAAACCAGCTAGAACAGTGAGGACACTACCGTCGCCCATTGCCACTTTTTTGAGTCTCTCTCCTCCGACGCCAGTCCGTGAGGCCGGGAATTACTCAGGACCGTAGTAACGGGTCTTATCTAAATAGACGTTGGTTCCATCTCGAAAAGGCCCCAGTTCATCTCCCTTCGATATACAACCAAAACCAGGGTGCCGACCAATGGGAGCTGTTCCCGCGCGCTAGCGACGGAAACATTGCGGATTCTGGCCGACAGTCTGCTTTTTGCGTCTTTCTGCTCACGGCATAAGCTCCGAGAGCGAGACACACTTTCTGCCAACAGAGTGCTGCCCAGCACTGCAGAAATCCCCCAAATCTCTGACTTCCCATCCGCAGTTTTCCCAAATAGGACCTTACTGTGGATCTAAACTCCATCTTTTTTGAACATGGTCTAATCTTTCAACTCACATACTAACCTTGTGACAGCCCCTGACTTGTTTCATGGTTAACCAGGAAGACAGCGCCACATTTTAGACAAATACGACATGCGAGCCTACTCTGGGTAAGCGTAAGTACCGGGTTTGCAAGGCAAAGAAAATATTGAGGTTCCAACTTGCTCAGGTTCCCCATCTCCAGCCCATATCCAGCACGGTCATGGGTCAACCCCTGAGCCCGTAGCCGTGGGCAAATTCTCGACAGCAATGCCTCCATGCCATGCCATGTACCTCCTCGGACACTGGGCAGTCTTTCTGCCCTCACCAACGTTGAAACAGCTTGTCGCTGCGCTGATGACTGCGGCTCGCCGAGGCGCCCGAACCACTTTCTGATATCTGGGTGGATCATATGGACAGGGAAGGAAGGCTCTGCCCGAAATGAATCGACTGTCTTTTCGCTAACTCCCCGTCCTTGTCGATTCAGGCAGAGGCGAGAAGAAGGAAGGGGGCCATGTCCCTTCCATCCCATTCCCGTGAGCTCAGTCGAGGGGTGTGTAGCTCGTCCAGGAACCAGGACACAGACTAGCCACTCGCCAACACTCCAGTGAGCTCCATCGTGGGCCAGACTGCGGGCTGTGAACTTTTGGACCTCGTCGCCTCAGTTCACATCCCAGCCCTGGGCAAAAGCTTGTGTATCCGTGTCACTGTGAGCTGTTCAAGCGGCCAAGGTCCCACTATCTAAGGTCTTGGCAGCGTGGATGAGATGTAGGATCAGGATGACTCCTGCGGGAAGGGGAAAGTATGTTGTTGATGAGCCTGAAGGAGAGCAGAATTTCCCAGAATCTGCCCAAGATCGAAAGATATAAGAAGGTTGCAAGCTCCCGTCCATCAAACCTTCTTTTCTCTTATTCCTCATCACCTTCATCAGCATCTTCCGCTACAGTCTCTCTTTACCAATCCAACTACTCACATTCTTTAGCCCTGGTGGTTATTCATTCGTTGTCAACACTTCCAAACTACTTCCAACTCTACGTGTTTTCTTAAACCAACCACCACATTCAAAATGAAGTTCTCCGCTGTCCTCGCTGCCCTCTCGGCCTCTGCCGTCATCGCCGCCCCCGGCGCCGAGTCCTCCCCCAACAACTTCGGTGCCATCGAGAAGCGCGCCTCCTTCCCCATCCCCGCCTCCAAGGGCACCGTCACCTATAAGGCCGCTCAGTCCGTCAAGGGCACCTTCGATGGTGGCATGAAGACCTACGGCCGTGGCGTCAAGTGCACTGGCCAGGCTGAGGGTGGCGACAAGGACGCCGTCTTCCTCCTCGAGAACGGCGCTACCCTCAAGAACGCCATCATCGGTGCCGACCAGATCGAGGGTGTCCACTGCAAGGGCTCCTGCACCATCAACAACGTCTGGTGGACTGCTGTCTGCGAGGACGCTCTCTCCCTCAAGGGTGACGGCAACGCCTCCATCATTGGCGGTGGTGCCCGCGGCGCCGAGGACAAGGTCATCCAGCACAACGGTCTCGGCACCGTCACCATTGACGGCTTCACCGTCGTCGACTTCGGCAAGCTCTACCGCTCCTGCGGTAACTGCAAGACCATGGGCAAGCGCACCGTCGTTGTCAAGAACGTCAAGGCCTACAACGGCAAGATGCTCACCGGCATCAACTCCAACAAGGGTGACACCTCCACCATCACCGGCACCTGCGCCACCTCCGTCAAGGAGATCTGCACCGAGTTCCAGGGCACCACCCCCGGCAACGAGCCCAAGAAGATTGGCACTGGCCCGTCCAGCGCCTGCAAGTACTCCACCCTCAAGGCCTGCTAAATGGTTCGCTTCTGAGCTGTTTGGTGTTCTTGAGTTCCGATCTTGGTCGCCGACACAGCTTGCTGTAGCGGCGACGGTGCTGCTTTTGCCGCACTCAGTCTCTGAGAGACTGTGAGTGAACTTTGTTTTTGGTTAAAGAACTTAGGAAGGAAGAAACCACCTTTTCTTTTCTGTGGTGTGTAAGCTGATGCGCATCACTTGGCCCCTTGGCCATTCTCTGTATATATGGACATGGGGAGCATGTACCTACAATATAATCCTCATGACTTGACTCAACTACTTTCCTTTCCGCCCGTGAATTGCAAAACTGAGTGACGATGCATGGTAAACTCCTCCGCCTTAACATTCCTGCGCGTCTACATCAACATATTGTTGAATGACGACTCTTGTCTCCGCTCTGCACATCTTCGTCGCGGTGACGGCGGCAGCCTCCCTAAGTCCCTCTTCTCTCAAGAGTCGGTGATTATCCTCTAACAGCTGTGAGAATATCACAGGCTCGGTTCAAATTAGATGCCGTGCGAGATAGTCGTTAGCAGCCCGACCTCACTACCCATCGGGCACAGTTGTCCAGCGTCATCTGCCGCCTTCATCTACCCCGTCCTCCCTCGTACTCGTCATATAAATCTCTTTCGACAATGAATTGAAATACATAATGCTGAAAAAGAAGAGGAAAAAGAAACAACTAGTATACGAATCCTAAAATTGTCGGCGAGAAGTAAGTGAGTGGCAAGAATCGTTGCAAGTCGATGCGATGAAGTCTTCATAACGTGAAGTCAAAGAGTGGGGCGCTTGGATCACGACAAAGTGCACCCACCGAGCAAACTCAACCTTAAAAAAAAAGCGTCGATCCGATAGATCGGATCTGTCAAATGCAGGTCATCGCAAGTGGCCTCCACCGGCGCCAACATGGGGAGTTTGTTTCCTCCCGCAAAATGGCGTGGAACCTTAATGCTAAGAACGTTCGTCAACGGCTATCACGGCATCGCGTGGACGGAAGCACGGCACCACGGCATCGCGGCACACACAACCGAGGCCAAGCTGGGGGTCCTTAGTCTTACGCGTCAACTTCGAGCCAAGTCTGGTCTAAACATCCTGGCAAGTCTCCAGAATTTCTGGAAGCTGCAGTTCTCGCTGAGAATTTCTATTAAACAGCTTCTCTCGCCCTCATCGGGCTTGGTTATGGAAACGACAAACGACCGGCCCACCTTGAAAACACCATCATGTGCTCACCAATAACAACGACGACCTCACAAGGCACCGTATGCACCTCCGCCTGGACTTCCTATAACCGAGCTATTAGCAAACCAATTTCCCCGACATCGACGGACTAGACTCACTGATGATGATGCGATCTCCCTTCTTCATCTCGCAACTGTTCTTCCCGCCAAGGTTGATCTCCCTTGTCCCGTACTCGTCATGCCGAACCCACACGTTCTCGCCGAGAGCTCCAGGCTCGCCTCCAGCTAGACCATAGGGAGGAACTGTCCGTCTCTCACTCAGCACACTGACGTGCAAGTCTCGACGAAACTCGATCTCGCGGATGCAACCGTCTCCTCCATTATACTTGCCTCGGCCGCCTGACCCACGCCGAATACCGAACTCACGGAGAATACACGGGTAACGACGCTCTAGGGACTCCGGATCCGTGATTCTAGTGTTGGTCATGTGGACGTGTACGCCGGACTGGCCCTCCCAACTTGGTCCCGCACCGGCGCCGCCTGCAATGGTCTGAGTTGAATGGGAGTTAGCGTACGAATATTAATGTGGTGAGAGGAGATCTGGCTTACCTCGTAGTATCCGAACCCAGGTTTTGCCTTCCCATCAACCATCTCACCTCCGTATCCAAATGTCAGGTTATTACACGTTCCCTGGCTGGCTGCCGCGGCGTGGAACGCTCTCAACACCACATCCGTTACTCTCTGAGACGTTTCGACATTCCCACCGACTGTAGCAGCACCCAGAGAAGGAGATATAATCGTCCCAGAGGGTATGATAACGTTGATGGGAGTCAAGCAACCCTGATTCAACGGAATGTCTTCCTTGACAAGCGAACGCAAGACATAGATGATGGCGCTAAAGGTGATGGCGCGGGGTGCGTTGAGGTTACCGTACATCTCCCGACTAGTCCCTGTGAAATCAAAGACAGCAGAGCCCTCTTCGCGATTGATGCGGATCTTGAGCTTGAGTTTCGATCCATCATCCATTTGGTCCTCGGCCTCGAGCGGGAGACCACCAAACTGGTCGTGTACTTGGCGGAGGAGGTTTCGGACTACCTTCTCGGCGTTGTTCTGGATTCCGAGCATGTATTTCTGTTATTGACCGTCAACTGTTCGCTGCTCTATTCACGGGCATCTTTTTGTCTAGATAGACTGCACTTACCTGAACCGTCGGCAAGCCATACTTCTTGATAGAGTCCTGAATGAGCCTGATGCCCTTCTGATTGGCAGCTATCTGTGCCTTTAGATCACTAACGTTGTCGTTCCACGTCCTTGTTCCAGAAGAACCCGGGTACGATGCCGGCTTCTTTAGCATAATCTCAGCAAGACCTTCCTCGTTGAATCTGCCCCCATCAACCAGCTTGAAGGACAGGAACGAAGCTCCCTCTTGCCAAATCTCCTTGGAATGCGGGGGCATAGAACCGGCAGAGATGCCGCCAATGTCGGCGTGGTGAGCCCGAGAAGCTGTCCAAAAAAGAACCTCGTTGGTGTCTTCATCAATAACTGGTGAGATCACCGTCACGTCAGGGAGATGGGATCCGCCGGCGGCCGGGTGATTGGAGACCAGCACATCTCCTGGCCGAAGGGAGTTGCCCCAGCGCTCGGCCTGGTAGGCCACCGCATAACTCATGGCGCCTAGGTGACACGGGATATGCGGCGCGTTGGCCACCAGACCGCCTGTAGGTGAGAAAATGGCACAAGAGTAGTCCAGCCTCTCCTTGATGTTGACGGAGACCGAAGTCATTTGCAGCGATCTGCCCATCTGCTCCGCTATGCTCATGAATCGGTGACCGAATACTGATAGCTGAATCGGGTCGACCTCGGCCGTCTCAACTGGAAGGCCGACGGAGCTTAGCGAAACCGAATCCTTGTCGAGAAGTAAGTGACGCGGAAGCACAGTCGCTGTCCAAGACGGCTGGACCATGATGGTCTGAGTTTGGTCGAGGATAATCGCCGGACCAACAACCCGCTCACCCGGCGCAAGATCATCGAGTTTGAAGAGGTCGACCTCGTGCCACTTGCCACTTGTGTAGAGCCTCGTAGTGCTTGCTTTCTTTCGCCTCTCTACCAGCCTGGTCTCAACAGACTTCAGAGCTTGCGATACGCTGGTCACGTTGGAATCGGGTGTCTTGCCCAGCGCTCGGACGCGAATGTCCTCTACTAAGATGTCACGGTTCAGAACAAAGCCGAACTCCTCTTCATGGTGCTCGACAAATTGACGAGTAAAGTCCCACGACTCCTCAGGCTTCCGAATCATGAGCGAACTATTGGTGCCCTTGTACCGCAGGTTGAGGAACAGCTCGTGCTCGATCTGTTCATCTGAGAACCCCTGGGCGACCAAAGTCGCCGTGGCTTCATCTGCTAAAACCTTGAACTCCTCTGCCAGCTGTTTATCAGAGAAATCAGAAAGCTCAGCAGCCTTGGGACGCTGAATCTCATGCGTCAAATCAGCCAGCGCCATGCCGTACGCCGACAAGATGGACGACATCCGATGTATGACGACACGCTCTACGCCCAACGCCTCAGCGACGTCACACGCGTGTTGCCCGCCGGCGCCTCCGAACGTGGCAAGAACATGGTCTGACGTGCGAATGCCTCTGCCTTCTGTGAGCGAGCGTATAGGTCTGCTCATGCTCTCGTTGGCGACGCGGAGGAAGCCGCTGGCGATCTCCTCCGGCGTGAATGACTTTCCCTCTTCAGAGTTGATCTTCTCGGTGAGAGTGTGGAAAGCTGTAGCTGCTGCGTCGTAGTCTAGGGGTTCGTTTTCCTTTGGTCCGAAGATGGAAGGGAAGTATTCGGGGCGTAGACGACCTAGGAACAGATTTGCGTCAGTGACTGTGAGAGGTCCGCCCTTGCGGTAGCACACAGGTCCTGGGTGTGCGCCGGCAGACTGTAAGTTGATGTTAGTTTATGATGCTGAAGAGCTGCCAGTGTGCTGTGATAACCCACATCCGGGCCGATCGCAAACAGCCCATTCTTCCAATGCAAGATCGAGCCGCCACCAGCAGCAACAGTATTGATATCCAACTGTGGCGTCTGTAACGTGACCTCAGCCGTCTCTGTCTCAAATACATGGTCGTATGTGCCCGAAAAGCGACTGACGTCCGTCGAAGTACCGCCCATATCAAAGCCAATCACCGGCATCTTGGTCTCGGGATCATAACAAGACTTGCCGAAACCGATGACGCCGCCAGCGGGGCCAGATAAAATGGCGCGCAGCCCGGAGAAGTTCTGCCAGAGACAGAGCCCGCCGTCGCTTTGCATGAAGAGGAGCTTGCTAGCAATGGCGTCTAGGCCGCCTTTGAAGCCGCTGCCAAAATCGCGGACGTAGCGGCGGATGAGAGGGGAGAGATACGCATCGGCGTTTGCTGAGTTTCCTCGGGACACCATCTTGATCTAGACAGATGTGAGCGTGTGAAGCAGAGCGTGAGAGAAGGTGGGCTGTTCATACCGTTGGCTGCAATTCAGACGACACGGATACGTCGAACCCCATTGATCGCGCGAGCTCCGCCACCTCATTCTCGTGATTGGGGTAGAGATAGGAGTGGATGAAGCAAATCGCAACACTCTTGAAGCCCTCAGCCTTTAGATCCCTCAACTGACTTGCTACAACCTCCAAGTCAGGCTTCTTGAAAACTCGAACTGGCTCCCCCGTCAATCCTTTTACGAGCTCTGGATCGCTTCCAATGTCGATGGGCTGTTTCTCCGGATTCTCCAAAAACTCCTCCATCGTCACACGCTCGTCAACCTCGACAACCTTTTCATACAGGTTCTGCAACTTGTGGATACTCAAATCAAAGATGTGCGGCCGGGCCTGGTTGCCGATGACTAGCAGATCCCGGAAGCCCTTGGTCGTCAGGAACGCGACGCGCTCGCCTTGTCGTTCTAGCAGGGCGTTCGTCGCCACAGTCGTTCCCATACGAACTGATTCAACGTCGGAGATGTCGAGGGGTTCATTGCGGGATACTGGTGCGCCTCTGTAATGTGCCAGGACGCGTCGTATACCTTCGGTCGGCGCATCTTTGTAGTTTCTCGGGTCTACTGACAGAAGTTTGAATACCATCTCTGGCTCATCAGAGCCGGGAATGTAGGCGTGCACATCGGTAAAAGTGCCGCCGCGATCTAGTGAGAACTTGTGAGCAAAAAAGACTGTCGAGACACTGGCCGCACAACTGCCCACTGAAGAATTGGACTTACCTATCGCGATTCTAATCTTCTTTCTAATTGGGCCAAGCGAGCCCATTGTGAATAGTGATGAAATACAGGTGATTGAAAGATGAAATTGTTAGGGTACGTTGGATCGGTAAACGCTGAGCCAATTGAGCTAGACATTTGGACGCTTGAATTCAATGAAGTTATAAAGCATTCTCCATCTCTCCTACGTAGGAGTCCGCCCCCGATCTAATCAGCACGTTGCATATCCCCCGCATTGGTCCCCGAATCGCACCATCCGGTCTCCAACACGCAGCTTATCAGAGCTGCCGCATTCCCGGGCTCGGCACCGGAGGCGAACCCCGAAGCCTCCGAAACCTCCTCCGAAGTGGGCCTAGGTGTCACAACCTGGGGTATCAGCAACTCGGCTTGCTGGACCGAGATAACTTCGGCTTCATGGACCTAGCAATCGCTATTTCTAAGGTCGATGTAGTGCATCTAATCGAGAACTGTGACGCGTTTCCAACTTCGTGCCTGGTTGATGCCAAGGTATGGCCGATCAGTCAGCATGCGGCACCTCCTTGTGCCGTTTCTTTCACAAGATGGTACATATCGCGACATCCATATCATAGCTTTTTGCCGGAAAAGGGGGTTTATCACAGAGTAGAGGAGTACAATCAAAGACACTCCCTCTACGGGAGGATCGTAGGAGTAAGGCCTAAATCTAGGGAACTGGGATGCAACCACCGGGAAGTGCTTGGAAGATCGTTTTGGCTGGGGGTCATGCAGCTGACTCTTGAACCGATTGGAATCTGCTCGTTGATAACGACGGCTTCGCGACCCGCGCCGCGAGCCAAGAAAATACGTTAACCTCGGGTCGTCAACCCGCGTCCACTTGATCATCACCGCGCGTTGTATGCACATGGTGCTCTTCAATAGCCAATGATCCTCGGTTGACAAGGACAGACCCCGTTAGCGGAGGCAATTATCTTGTGTCTGATAATCACGTTACAGTCGCGGCTTCTCTTGAGTCTGGGCCGGCTTGCGGAACAAGGCTGCGAGCGAGTTATCTGATCTTTATATCATCCTTGAGATCGATTGAGAGGTTGTTGCTGGGGTGCTAAAGATTAGATGAACCCATAATCCGTAGATAAGTATGATATGACATAGACTGCGTAACTCTGGACATGTCTTAAGTGATACTTTAGTCAAGTTCTCTCTCAACTTATCTATGGGAATATTAGTTCACATCTGAGCGATACAATACTATACTCTTTCGAAATGCCTGAGACCCAAAGCTTAGAAGAAACCAAGAACAGCATCAGCCACAATGTCAAAAACCATGATATCAGTGTCGCCCATTCAACCGACATCCAGAGCGATCGTGCCAAAGAAGCCAAAGTCGTGAGAAAGCTGGACCTGTATATCACACCCGTACTCTTCATCGTCTATCTCTCATGCTTCATCGACAGAGCCAACATCGGTAGGTATTCCATAGCTTCCTTTGAGAGTCTCCAACATTGTACCGGAAACTATGTTTCTGTCATTCACTTCCTAGTTCCGACCAGAATCCTAAACACGATGCAGGAAACGTCAAAGTCGCGGGCATGCCCGAAGAAATCGGCGCCACAAATCAGCAATACTCTACAGCCGTATCCCTCTTCTTCGTAACCTACGTGCCCGTCGAGGTCCCAGCCGTCCTCCTCGTCAAACGCTTCGAACCTCGCTTCGTTCTCACAGCACTGTGCATAATCTGGTCCGTCACGACAGTAGCCAACGGTCTCATTCGCAATGTCGGTGGCCTCTATGCCTGCCGTCTAGTCCTCGGCGCTTGCGAAGGCGGCCTATTCCCTTCTCTCAACATGTACCTCACCATGGTATATAAGCGTGACGAGATCGCAAAGCGCACGTCCTACCTCGTCTCGTGCACGGCATTATCCGGTGCCTTTGGAGGCTTGTTGGCGTACGGGTTGTTACAAATGGACGGTGTTGGCGGGTACGCTGGCTGGAGATGGGTGTATCTCATAGAGGGGGCGTTTAGTGTCACATGCACCTTTGCTGTATGGTTCGGATTGCCTAGCGATGTCCGCAAAGCGTATTTCCTTAGCGAGGAGGAGCGAATAATCATGGACATGCGGCACCAGGAGAGGTTGGACTACATGGGCAGTGACGAGCTTGATTGGAATGAAGTGAAGCTCGCTTTCTTGGACCCAAAGACTTGGCTCAGGTATGTGTTGCTCAAGGATTCGAACGCAGGGAGAAGTTCCTGACACTTACGCCCCCAGCGCGTGGACTCAATTTTGCCAGAATATTTTGACAAACGGATTTGGCACCTTCTTGCCCTCCATCTTGCACGCCATGGGTCACGGCACGCTGGCTAGCAACTATTTGACAATACCCGTGTATTGCCTTGGCGCGCTGGCATTCTTCACTTTTGCGTTTTTATCAGACAAGTACGGAAAGTGCGGCATGGTGAGTTGACCCGCAATCAACCAATTTCGTAGTAGACTAGCTGATGGTTCTAGTTTCTCTTCGCAACCAATCTTGTGGGCGCGGTAGGCTATGCAGTATTGATTGGCGTTAGCAATAATGCTGTCAAATATTTTGCCTGCTTCGTCTGCACTATCGCAGTGTACAACGGCACAGGGCTGAACCTGGCCTGGCTCAATGTCAACACAGCGCCACAATATCGGCGTGCGACGGCCATTGGTATTCAACAGACAATCGGCAATTCTGCCGGTGCTGTGGCAGGCCAGATATACAGAAGTTCGCCGTATCTTCTTGGGAATAGTTTCTCGCTTGGTGCCATATTTGTCGCAGAGTGTCTGATCGTCATGCATTGGCTATTTCTCATACGCCTAGACAAGCAGAAGGAGGCTATTCTTGACGGGGCCGGGCCAGACACGCGAAGGAAGCGAACAGGCGACCGAGACGTTGAGTTCAGGTACCGCCTTTGACCATAGCAGCTTGCTCTCTATCCTCGAATGTACGGGTGTGAGGCGTTTTTGAGATTGGACACAGTCGTAAACTATGGTGGATACTCGTGGCATCGGCTGGGACTTGCGTCGGAGTTTCGTCAGTCTGAGCCGCTGGCAACTTCGCGTTGGCTGAAAAAGTTTTGAGGCAGATCTAAGATATCACAGCCAGTATTTGGCCCACACTTCGTGCTCTTCCTTAGTTCCTCTGAAGGCGAACTCAAGTTCGGTAATGTCTTGGAACCCCTCCTTTACTTTTGGTTCCTTGAAGCGGGATTTGAATCCGTTGAAGGCCATCCTAGGCAGTGCCGTTCGTGACTCGGGGTTAAGCTGCCCTGCATAAGCTACAGTCATGTATTTGCAGTTTAAGTTGGACTTACGGATTCGTTCATAGACCGTACGGCATCATTGTGTTCGCAAATGTGAAGAGGCGTCTTGAACCAAACACACCTGATTGGAACGTCGTGTTTCGCTGCAAGCTGAACCCAGACAGCTCTCGTATCGGGGTCGGGATTCGTATTGTCTGTACTGAATTAATGCCTGAAGATGGCGAGAAGATTCGTGCCGGAGCTGACCTATTGCTATTGATTGGCCTCCACTCAGTAGCTCTTTGGCGACTTGCAGGCACTTGTCTCGACTGCCAATACATTAATATTTACATGACTTGATCATATTAAGCTGAACTGACGTCTTCAAAGTGTCTTGATTGATGCGCTCATAACCCAATGGCTTGAGGTACTTCCAGAAGAACGTACTCTTCCCAGCACCTGGCGGGCCGCAGGAAAGAACAATGTCTTGCTTGTTCTTCTTCTCAAACAGGGCACTCGACGCCTCCGAATTGGGATCCTCTGGGTATGGGAAATGGACGATGTCGAATTCTCGGACAAAGTCCCGAGGCTTCTCATCGAGGAAGAATTCTTCTGGTGTCTTGTATGTGATTCCAATGTTGTGGGCGAGATTTCGATCGGAGCAGCTGAAGTCTTTGGAGAATTTTGATGCCGCAGTGCGACCACCAGCGTCACCAATGAAGATGCTCCCCTCCAGGTCGACGTCGTCAGTGAGGTCATAATCAGCGCAAAGTTCCTTCCACATCCCCGGCCTCGGTTTTCTATATATGTCTTTCTCTGTGGCTGCGTATATAGTGGTCGGGATGTTGAGCTGTGTCAAAACGGCATTGACCTTTTGCTTGAATGCCGAGGCTCGGTCTTTTGTCGATTTCGGCGTTTTTGCTTTCGGATCGGCGTGAAGAACGATACCGGCTTGATTGGACAGTACCACAATACGGTATCTGTAAAGATGAGCTGATTTCTGTCACTCTTACGGCCAAGCGCTGATAACAAACCCTTCGTCATTGTACATGTCCCGCAGCTTGCCAGGAACAGAAGCATGCCACCATTTCCAGTCCTCAGCGGCGTCGGCATGTTTCTTGCCCGAAGCCGTTGTGATTAGGGTCGAGTCCTAGGCGGGTATTCGTCAATTTCAAAGGCTTTATATGTGTGAAGCTGCGTAGCTGTCATACCAGGTCAAAAGCAGCCACCTTCCTCCTCTTTTCGGACTCGGCTGAGGGCTCCTCTGGTTCGTAGCGGCCAACGAGCAGTGTCGCAGGAATATCATCGTTCGGAGCGCGTTCGGTCCATATTGTGCGGTCTTTTGGCTTCTGCGAAGTAGGTTTGAAGAAATTCGCAACTGCGTTCTCTGTAGGGAGCCAGGAGTCAGTGACGATTCATAGTTTGGACGAAGAACGAGCTTACTGGTTGTGCCGCTCTGGACTTTCCGTTTGACGGGCGGTGGAGAGATCGATTCTCTTTGCTTCCTCTTCGTGGTTGACGAACTTGAGTTTGACATGATCGAAGTCGAGTGAATCGATTGCTTGCTGAGAAATTGGCACAGTATTCCGCTGTTGACTCTCCAGAGCGACGTTCGCATGTCGATAATCGTAGCTCAGAGCTTGGGAAGCGGCGAGCTTTGGTGGGGCACGGCCACTTTACCGGCAGAAAGCGCGACGACGCCCACGCGCCAGGGTGACGGGCAGACACGTGACCCAGAATGCGTGGCAGGTACGTATCGGTGGAGCAATTTCACGGGACCTTCACATTCACCTCAATGAGACGCTGTTCATGAATCTCTCTCACTCTCACGCCCTCACTACCCTAGTCCTTCCCCAACCTTGCCGTCATCATCGCCAAATTGTTCAGTCGAAATGTACGAGCTCTTTCTCACGACGCTCGTCGACGACGACGATATCCAGGCGGCATGCTCAGTCCTCGGCGGTCTCTGCGCTATGCCCGCCTGGCAGAGTCTCCATCGCGTCCTTTATTTCAAGGGCCCAGGCAAACCCGGCGGAATCTCAAACCAAAACTCCATCGTCAAAACCCCTCGCAAGGACATTCAGATGCTGTGGAAAGACTTGCATCAGCAACTGAGCCGTCAATCTTACATCCTCCAGGCCCGATATGAGGTCTTCAAGGATAAGGACTTCGGCCCGACCGCTCCGGAAGTGGACTTCAATGCGCGTGCCGGCACCCTCCGATGGACCGATTTCCCTGATCCTCCCCAGGTCCGCTCTTCGGTCACTCAGCGCAAGAAGACTGAAATTTGGGATCAACGGAACTTGTTGTCTGTGATGAAAGACAACAACTACCAGTCAGTCTTGGACACCTGTTATTGGTGATTGTGATCTAACAACATGCAGGTTCAAAAGCGAGGCCATTGAGGAAACCTATCAATTCTTCCGAGAAGATGTAGAGTTTTGCCTCTCAAGACACTACATTCTCCAGATGAACGGCGACAATGGTCCTCTCACTCAAACCGCTACATGGGACACCATGTCACCGGCGGATCCCGGGCAGCGATGGATGTTTCTGATTAAGGTTCATGTTCACCAAGACAACAAGCCCGATGAGATCCTCAAGGCGCATGAGCAATTGGCCAATATTCGACGTGAGCTCGAGGGCGTCTTCGAGTTCAAGATGTTTGACCGACGTATACACGATACCCGCGTTGCGGTTGAGATGAGAAATGCGCCTGCACCACTGCCTCAGGTGATGACCATTACAGACCAACGGTAAAGCGTGGTCATCTTACTGAAATCATGGATCATGATTATATTCCTGATCCATGTTTAATAATACATATTCAGCAGTTGGCAAGACTATTGATGCACGAACTTAGACCTGGTCGAGATTGAGCACCATCGCGATTCGCTGGGACTGTGCTCGCCAATGCTTCAGCCTCCAGTCGACTGCTGAGCTTCCTATTGGACGTCATCAGGTCTCTGAATAGCGCGAGAAGCTTAGGCGAGAGCTTTGAAGACTCGGCTGTCAACGGAAAGGTTCAGAGTCAAACCGTGGGTACTCCCGATTTTGCCCCTGATCAGGTCAGAGCAGAAACCTACCCTTATTGAGTGCCTTATCCTGAAAAGTTCGCACCAACAGTGGTGGGCTTCTTGCAAGAAAAAACACACAGCAATCAAAAAGAATTGCAGAGTGCAAAAGCTGGGGAAAGGACTTTGGCAATGGAGGGAGCAGAAAGACAATACTCGGACATTCGGCACGAGTACGAGATGAAGTTGAGATACCTTGATAGGGAATCCACAGGTTCCAGAAGATTTCTTCAGTCAAGTGGGCCAATATGTGTCGTCAAGAATAGCCTAGGACCATAAGCTACCTTAAATCAGAAATGGCATCAAGCTTATTTTTTGACTGATGCACACCGTCTTTAAACCGGCAACAAAGTGCCGTTGCTGCAACTGCTGTTCATGAATTGACGTCTCCTCATAGTTTTGGCTCAGTTCAACGATGAATGGATCAAACCCATTGTCGACATGCTTAGCAACTAGAGACACCAGAAACAAAAGTACTAGGTAGTGCACCACGGAAAAACATATTAGGGATTGGTTTACAAAGTGTCATTGATCTTGGAGTAATCTCAGATAATATCACAATTATGCGAGACGATCAAAAAAAAAAAAATTCAGAAATCGCTCTCAGACTTCTAAAACTTTGGACCTCACAACAGGATATGACGTACGATATCCTCACTTGCCGCCAGATGCATGGTCGAAAATATTGGCCTTATTTCTTTTCAGAGCGGCACGATATGGCCAAGACTTTTCTATCCTGCCGTAGCCCGTTCCCCCCTTTGCTCGTTGACGGTTGGCGCCATCATCCATGGACCATGCATGGCCCAGGCGCCAGAACTGGCGGCCCTGGTTTCGAAATAATTAAACGTGCAGCGGTCAGCGGTGCACTGCGCTAAAAGGGCAACCCCCCATCGAAAAATTCAGTCGTCCCCGAACTGGCCCCCAAGATCTAGGCTCGTTTCACTCGGAGATGATTTCCCGCCTAAAGGCTTGGGGGACCACCGTATACTCTCCACATACGCTGATAAGTTGTGAACCGAGGTGCTGAGGGGAATATTGATCCAACTTTGTCTTTTGGCGAAGCAATAGAGACGGGTTGGCATCTACAATAGGCGTTCATTTACGGCTGGAGCTGGTCGAGAGCGTCATTGCAGCGTACGAATTGAGTCAATCAATAACCACAAAGGGAACTGTCAGAGCCAGCATATTGACTCGAGAGCGGCTGTGTTCTGCATCGTTCTCCTCCCGCTCGACTTCAGAGGTTCAAAAGGACCAAAAATCATCTCTACCCGTAACGCACGTGTCCGCCAGTGGTACAGGCTTCCACCACTGGAGACGGGCTTGCAGGGCTCATCCAGGGTTGGACCACTTTGGGTGACACAATCCATCGAGCCCCAGGACCGTCGCTCGCCCCTGGGGAGGATGACGATCGCGGATCACTCCGTTGCCCAATCGGAATCATTCAAGACCTGGGTTGATTTGCGCCAAACGGTCCAGCACCATGGAGACACGCGAGTACCAAGGAAAGTATGTGTTAGTGATTCTCCGTCGATCTCGCGGGTGAGGGCTAAGGTTCAATCTATTCAACGTCGCCTACCAAAGTTTACCCTGACTTTTGTTGCTGACACATATTGCATTGTACGAGAGTTCCGCCGAATTCTGCCTATGTTCGTTTATACCAGTAAACTCACCTGTTTCTATGAGCCCGGAAAGGGAAGAGTGCACAGTAAGCAGTTTTGCTGTGGTCTTATCTTGGCCAAACTGAGTAGCGCCAGGGGCCACATGCTGTTTGTGTTTCAGGTTCGGACGGCCAGCCGCGAAGGGGGATGAAAAACCGGGGGTCAGCACTGGTTGCCAACACGCCAGTGGTTGAACACATGGATCCGACTCCAGGGACGGCGATGTCCTCCAAGGGGTTAAATTAAGCTTGGGGTCAAGTTGGGACGACTGAAGCGAGGGATGCCCGCCTTGCGACCTATCCAGCCGAATAAGCAAAAGCGAATCCGTACAGAAGCTGCACCAACTGGCTGCAAGTTCATGAACCCTGGTTGACAAACCCGAACTGGGCGCGTCACCCGCGCAGCCGAAGCTGCAAGGCACACATCCCGCAATTTAGACACAACAGCGGGCATCCCCACAACGTTAACCCCTTTCAAGATTATTGCTCCAATGAACGATCGGTGACACCCATGGGCATGCCCGGCCGGGACTGCTTCTTTACGGCGGGAAGCGGTGCTGAAGCCTGTGTGCCCATTCAGTTCCTGACGAACCCTTGCGGTATAGAGATTAAACGCTTCCCTTCGAGGTATCAGATCCCTGGTTGTTAGTTGAACCGATGAGGCGGCGTCGTGGGCCAGTGGGACGGGATTGCGGTCCCCCTTTCCAGAATTTAGGCTTGGCAGCTCTAAACTGGCCTGACCATGTCCGGTTGGTGGGGAGGAAGAAGACCGAGGACGATGTTGGTGGTTGAAGACGGGAGGGGAGGGGGATAGAGGGGGGTGATGCGAGGAACCAGAGAAGCCATACATATACCATCTCGGTCTCCTCGTTTCTCGAAAGAGAGTTTGTTCTGTCTCTCCAACAGTTTCAGTCACTCATCTGTCCACTCTTTACTTTCAGTCCTTCTCTACAGCTCGACGCCGGCGTCATTTCACTCACTTCTCACCTTTGTGTGCACTTCTTCTAACGCCCGGAAACCACCTTCTTTTCACAAAAAACAACCAAACCAAAATCACCGTCAAGATGAAGTCTGTCGCTGCTCTCGCCCTTACCGCCTCCATGGCCAACATGGTTGCCGGCCACGCCATCTTCCAGCAACTCTGGGTCAACGGTGTTGACCAGGAGTCCAGCTGCGTCCGCATGCCCGTAAGTCGACTTACACAGCAGTCCCAAGTGTAACATCATCGAAGACTAACATGATCATGATAGGCCTCCAACTCTCCCGTCCAGGACCCCACGTCCAACGACATGCGCTGCAACGCCAACTCCGCTGCCGCCACCACCACCTGCGGCGTCAAGGCCGGCGACACCATCACCGTCGAGATGCACCAGCACAACACCCGTGCCTGCACTGAGGAGGCCATTGGAGGTGCCCACCACGGCCCCGTCATGGTCTACCTGAGCTCCGTCACCGACGCCGCCACCGCCGATGGCTCCAGCTCTTTCTTCAAGATCTTCGAGTCCGGCTACTTCGCCAACAACAACACCTGGGGTAACGACTTGATCAACGAGGGCTGCGGCAAGCAGAACGTTGTCATCCCCTCTGACATCGCCCCTGGTGACTACCTTCTCCGTGCCGAGACCGTCGCTCTCCACGCCGCTGGCTCTGAGAACGGTGCTCAGTACTACATGAGGTATTCCCACCCACTTCCACTCATCACAGACATGATCAAGAAGCTAATAAAGGCTCTGCAGTTGCTACCAGCTTAAGGTTACCGGATCGGGTACTGCTAAGCCTGAGGGTGTCGTCTTCCCTGGTGCGTAC